GATGATGTCTTTCTAACCCTAACACAACTCCAGATATCCCTGCCGAACCTAATGTACCACATCAAGACATATGGCCAACTATCGTATTACAAGCTGAATGTCACTAAGACACAGGCAATGGGAATCAACATACCCAATAGCAAACTGGAACTCCTGAAACAGTCCTTCCCCCTAGACTGGAGAGAGGATCACCTGACCTTTCTAGGCGTTAAAATGACAAAGAACCCGGCCTCCCTCTTTACCACCAATTATGTCCCTCTAGCCACTACACTCAGGGCCACATTGGACTCATGGGAGGGGAAATATCTGTCCTGGGTGGGTAGGATAGCGGCCATAAAAATGTCCCTATTGCCTAAGTTACAGTACCTATACAGAACGCTACAAATCCCGTTACCAGCGACCTACCTTAAATCCCTGATAAGACACTTGATGGCTTTCACGTGGCAACATAAAAAGCCCAGGGTAGCAATGAGACTGTTACAAAGACCTACATCACAGGGGGGATTAGGCCTCCCAGACATATCTGCATACTACAGAGCAGCGGCTCTGACAATCGTACCACAACTAAAATCAGGCCCCCTCTCGCCACAATGGCTAAGTATAGAGAACCACTGGGTGAAACCCCTGACACTACACACCCTATTTTGGACCCCAGAGGCCCACAGACCGAACACCCTGCACCTGCTGCCCACATCGCAACACACGCTGCATCAATGGGACACCTCCAAACACCACTTGGTCAACTATCTCCCAGTGCCCCTAGCCACACCACTAGAAGCAGTAGCAACTGCGATTCCAACGTTAGACATAAAACCATGGAAGCAAAAAGGTATCATAGAGATAGGGCAGCTCTACAAAGATGGGAAACTCAGATCCTTCACGGACATCCAAACAGACCACGACCTGCCCCCCAAGATGATCTTCTCATACCTTCAACTCAAATCATATTTATCCCAGACCAAACTGAACGCCTACAATACTGACCCCCAAACACATCTCTCTGAGTATGAACTCCTATGCACACACAAGAAACCTCTTAAGAAGACAATCTCAATTAGCTACAGACTAATCCTTCACACAACAGACATATTGGCGGACACACACGTTCAATCATGGCACCAAGAAACGGGGGAAAACATAGATAAAACAGAATGGAGCAAGGCATACACATCACACAAAGGAGTGACCTCATGCGCCACACACCTAGAACTCCAACGTAAACTACAATATCGCTGGTACATGGTGCCGGATAGACTCCACAAAATGTGGCCAAGCTCCACGGACAAATGTTGGAGGTGTGGGCTCCATAGGGGCACCATGTCCCACATATGGTGGACGTGTGACACCCTACAACCGTTCTGGCACATGGTGCAAAACACAATCTCAGAGGTTATAAAAACACAGATAACCCTCACCTTGGAACTGTGTATTCTATTTATACCCCCAACAAAGACGCCCAAAGCAACATGGTCAGCCATGTACCATATACTTATATCAGCAGTAACTCTCATTGCACGTATGTGGAAAAAGCCTGCAGCCCCCACTAAGGAACTCCTAATACGACAAATCTCCCTTAACTGGGATTATGAAAACACATGGGCTAACCAATTGGGAAACAAACGCCACATGGAAAAAGCCCATGCAATGTGGGAAAACTACTTAGAGAGATCCAAAGCTAGCCTACTCTAACACAACATCCTTAGATGACTACAAGTACTAGTCTGGAACTAGTCCGGAAGGCCCTGCGATAACGGGCCATGTTAAACAGAGATTAAGCCTCCTCATTCCCCCCCTCCCTACCCCTTTTTCTCCCCCCCCAACCTCCCAAGTAAAATGGTCTAGTGAAACTTAACAGTTACACCAATTGTACTTATTATGTTATGCTTCAAAGGTTGCGATTGTATACTGTGATTTCTGTACAAATTTGGTGTTGGGAGAAATGTTCATACTCCCACTCTTAATGACAATGTGATGAACGTTCACTGACTAATAAAAATGGTCAAATTATAAAAAAAAGAAATAACACCATACCCTCAACCCTACCCTAGATGCTGCAGCCCATCTCCAAGCACGCACCTCAAGGAGGGCACGCCTCCAACTGTGGCACACTAAGTCAACCCACTGCTCTCTATCTCAACCTCAGTTAGACCGTACCATCCCTACCCTCCAAGCCTTTTCTCCATCTACTTAACAGGAGATTGATGCGCTTCTCCTTTCCTCTCATCCCCCCACATGTCTGCTTGCTCCCATCCCAACTCACCTCATAAGATCTCTCGCCCCTTGACTTGTGCCATCTTTAATGCACATCTTTAACTGTTCTCTTTCCTCTGGTGTTGTCCCTGCTCCTCTTAAGCATGCTACTGTTGTACCCGTCCTAAGAAAGCCTAAGAAAGCCAAACTATCGTGCCATATCCCTGCTCCCTTTTTCTTCAAAGCTTCTGGAAATACTTGTCTTTACCTGTCTTACTTGCTTCCTCAATTCCAACTTTCTCCTCGACCATCTTCAGTTTTGAATTCTGCCCCTTCCATTCCACAGAGATGGCTCTGATTAAAGTTACAAATGATCTAATTGCGGCTAAATCCAAAGGTCACTACTCCATACTAATTCTTCTTGACCTCTCTGCTGCCTTTGACACTGTTGATCATGCCTCCTTCTCCAAAGTTTTCAATCTCTTGGTCTCTGTGACGCATGGTTCTCCTACTATCTCTCCCAACATTCATTCAGTGTCCTTTTCCAATGACACCTCCTCCCCTCATCCTGTCTCAGTTGGAGTCCCTCAAAGTTCGGTTCTTGGTCCCCTTTTGTTCTCTCTCTCTATTGCCTCTTTTGGCAACACATTCATTTGGTTGGATTCCGCTACCACCTGTACGCTGATGACACCCAGATATATCTCTCTTCCCCTGACCTCTCCCCTGCTGCTCTACAATGTGTCACCAATTGCCTTTCTTCCATCTCTGACTGGATGTCCTCCCGCTTTCTGAAACTCAATCTCTCTAAAACTGAGCTCCTTGTCTTCCATCCTCCCAATACTGATCCTCCTCTTTTGCTCTCCTTTCAACTTAGTGGTACACACATTAGCCAATCCTTGCAAGCGTGCTGTCTTGGTGTTATACTTGACTTTGGCCTCACCTTTGAGCCTCACATCCAGTATGTTACCAAATCCTGTCAATTTCACCTTAAAAACATTGAACTTATCCGCCCCTTTCTTACCCAAGATACTCCTAAGGAGCTTGTCCATGCTCTAGTAATCTCTTGTATGGATTATTGTAAAGCTCTCCTAATTGGTCTTACCAGAAGCCGCATTGCCCCACTATAATCTGTAATGAATGCTGTTGCTAGACTGATTTTCCTCTCCAGTCGCTTCTCTCACACCTCACCCCTCTGTCAGTCCTTACATTGGCTTCCAGTATCCTATAGGAGTCAATTCAAAGTACTAATCTATATCTTTAAAGCACTAACCAATTCTAGCCCCTCTTATATCTCTTCACAGATCCATAGGTATGCCCCTTCTCGGTCTCTCCGCTCTGTCTGTGACCACCTCCTGACCGCTGCTCGAACCCGTAAGGCCAACTCACGCTTGCAGGACTTCTCACGGGCAGCTCCCTTCCTTTGGAATAGCCTGCCTACCACCATCAGACTCTCTCTAGTCTCCAATCGTTTAAAAAGTGCCTTAAAACCCATCTCTTCAGGAAGTTGTTGTTGTTGTTATATAAATGCCAATAATAATAATAATAATAATGATAATAATAAAAATAAAATGTTTGCAGAAAAGGTAAACTACATAAGTACAATACATGGCAGTCACTGCATAAAGAGGTTGTGCTATTACGGATTGCCTTAGCAGGGGTAATTTATTGTATTTGTTAAGCAAAGCATGTAATATGCAAGTTACAATTAATAAAATAAACACTATAAATAATCAGAGCTTGTGCAGACAGTGAGTTAGTTATACGTTGACTGTTTATATTTACAGGTTGCTTACTTTGTAGCTCTGCCAGGACAACCAATCAGAACGTAACATTCCACATTGCTCTAAACAATTGGAAGGCATCAACATTAAGAAATGCAGTTTAACCTTATTAACCCTTAAAGCAAAGGTTACATAAAGATTCCATATAATCAAAGGATAAAACAGAATGTACTTTTCAGACGCATGTCACTGTGACTTCGTATGAAGCATGCCGACTGTCCCACTTCCCAACAATTATTTACAAAAATCTACGTGTGAGATGCTTATTTGTATACAGAATTGACTAGGCCCTATGTACTGATTTCATGGGATATAGAGAAGAGAGGAGTACCGCAGTCAACGCATAGAAAGGTACCTCTAATTGGCAATAGTTAGAAATAAATACAAAAGGTTAAAATGTGTTGCTATAAGCAGAACAATGCATTTAATTGTGCCTGGGGTTTAAACAGTGTTCTGCTCATCTTCCTGACATCCTTTTACAACTCCTATAGAAACATCTAGAGTCATAAATTGAGCTTTTATGCTGTAAAACAGTGTGGAAAAAGCAGACTTTGTAATAATCATTTGTAAATAAGCAAGTGCAAAAGAGGTGCAAGCTATAAATATAACCCAGGACTTTGTGAATCTGATGTTAACACATAGAGGGACTGTGCTACCACAGTGGTTGTCTGTGAAAGTTTAATTTTATTACATGACAGGAGTCTTTATATTTGCTTTGGTCTCTCTTTACTAGAACTCTGCAGAAACACAAGTTAACCAAGTGAAATAAGGAATCAAATCAGAAATCAGAATACATCAAAGTAAATAAATATCCCATATTCCTCTATTACTGTCTCTTTCTTTGTTGCCCCTCAGCAGCACAGCTCAAAGTACAACAGCCTTCTGTTGCTGTGGCTTTATTTTTATAGCTACAGTCAGTGGTGTATCCTGGTTTTGTGCTGCCCTAGGCACGACAAAACTCAGGTGCCCCCTCCCCCGCCGCACCACCCCCACCCAACCCTTCCCCCCGCCCCACCTCGCCTTCTAAATACACACACACACATTCACTGACAGATATGCATACACTAGCTAACAGAAACACACACTCACTAACACAGACACACACACACTAACAGACACACTCACTAACAGACACACACTCACTCACTATCAGACACACACACACACTAACAGACACACTCACACTCACTAACAGACACACACTAACAGACACACACACTTACACACTAACAGACACACACACACACACACTAACAGACACACTCACACTCACTAACAGACACACACTAACAGACACACTCACACTAACAGACACACACTCACACACACACACTAACAGACACAGACACTTACACACACACTAACAGACACACTCACTAACAGACACACACACACTAACAGACACACTCACACACACTCACTCACACACACTAACACACACACTAACAGAAATATACACACACTCACTCAAATTAACATTTATTGATTGATTTTAACCCCCTGCCCCAGCCTCCTTACCTTAGGGAATGCTGGGGAGTGGGGGGTTCCCTCTCTCCCTGGGGTGCAGTGGCTGCAGGGCGGGCGGGCGGCTGGCGAGGGAGCTCTTCCTCTGAGCGGTCTGCTCAGCTCCCTCACGCTCTGCAGAGTGAGGCTGGGAACCGGAAAATGACGTCAGCACCCTGCACGCCCAGCCGGTCAGTTAGCCGCAAGGCTAACAAGGCTAACAAGGCATTTGCCCTGGGCATTTGGGGGGCTGCTTTTTTTGCTGCCCCCTGGAAAATGCCGCCCAAGGCAAATGCCTTGTTTGCCTCGCTGCTAAAACGTCCCTGGCTACAGTGTTATAGTCTGTTCCCTACATGATGGTTTGACTTATATTCTCTCCATATTCATGTCTGATTCCTTTTATTTCTTTATCCATTGCATTATTTAATTAATTAATGTTATTCATTTGGCTTTTCTTACAGACCTACTTGTTTCTACTTTCCTTTTACCTTCTTAGTTCTTTCCTCAGCAAGCACGCATTTGTTAGCTGGGTTAGGAGTCTCGGGAGGCTTGTGCTACCTTTCCCAACTTGCTCAGGCCCTCTTGACCCATTGATAATGTCTCAGGAGGACCTGCTCACGCTTATGTCAGCCATCTTGGAAGAGGACGATATCCCGGCGGTCATCTTTGTGCTCCCACTCTGTGTTAGTGATTATTGTTAGCACAGCCTGCAACACCACGCTGCCTGTTTGTGACATTCATACACATGTAATTTCTTTCGGGACGTTCCTAGGCTGTAAAACCTTTCCACGCACTCTCATTATGTGGAAGTTACTTCTTATCTGCACTCTTCCGGTCCCAAACAACTCCTTCTTTCTTATATTCAACCTCACAAGCCGTGTTTTTGTTCCATAACTTTGACTTGGTGGGTTTGTAGCTTACTGTCTTTGGAAGGTGTGCACACCTCTTTTGGTGCACACTCTGTGAGTGGTGCGGCAACATCTCAGGCCCTTTTTGGTGGTAGCCTCTCTTAGTGGCATCTTGAGGTCTGTGGACTAATCTCAGGAAGATACAATCAGACGATTTTACTTACACCCTTGTTCATATACCTCTTTTGCTTAGCTAGCAGAGCATTATAACAACAAATATAAAGCCACCTGTCATGTAATAAAATTGTAGACTTTGCTGGCTTCAATGTATCTTTAATCTTAATTTTCTCTCATTTCAGTTTAATTTTTGACTTCAGGTGTTTCTCCTGAGGAACCATCATTTTCTCTCAAGTTTTTAAGACTTTGCAAGACTTACTATATTGTTTGTTGTTTGCAGCTCGAAGGAGGAGTTGCTAGAGGAGCTGGGAGATTTATTTGCTTTGATGTTTTCTGATTGGTTATTTCACTTGGTTAACTTGTGCTGCTGTAGAGTTCTATTAAAGAAAGATTTAAGCAAAACTTTGCTTCCTGTCATTAATACTGGTACACTGAAACTAGCATAATCTACCATTTAAATAGAAGAAAGACTTTAATCACTCATGGTCATAGCCTAGGGAAAATTATGTGATAAATCTTAGCCTCCTGCACCACGCTAAGTGCAAAGCAGCGGTAGTATATATCGGTAGTATATACACTTACTGCAGTACTGTCAAGTAAACAAAATGAGGGTCATAGCTGTGCTGTACAACTGCCAGAGGGGACATTTCTGTTCTCCACAGGTATTTTCAGAGCTTGATTCTTGTGTCAACCTTCATCTGCTTTTGGAAGCAAAAGATATATGGGAGAATAATAAAAATACTAACCTACCATGATTACATTCACACAAGTATTGGTAACACTGATTTAAAAGACCCACCATATATACTCCATGGTTTTTCAAAGGGATTTACTGTTCAGACACAAAGAAACAGAGCTCTATTGTTGGGAGTTTGACACCCTGTAGGGAGGTTCTACACTGGGACACAGTGACTTGAGAGTGTGTTTCATTATACCTTTTACTTTTCATTTCCAAGCTATATATGGTTTGTTTGTTTTGTTAGTATTTTTTTTGTTATTCATTATAAAACAATACATAGTACAAAATGTTTTTGTAACACTAAACTACTTTTGGATACTTTTTAAGTGCATAAACAAAACCTACATTTAATAGTGTTAAACTGTAAAATGTAACAGTGGGTTGGCACCAGGAGACTCCGACTCCTTGCACCATAATAACTGCAGTGCACTGTAGGTTGCCTCTGTAATTATTACATATGGAGGTTTTCAGAGTTACTCACTAATGCTCAAATTGCTGAGTATTAACTGTGAATTCCATGTCATTTGCCAATCTAAGGACAAAATAGCCAAACCGAGTTATTCGGGTATTTAGCCTAGAAATTAAGTTTCACTTTAAATTCATACTTCAGTGATGAAAATTCAGAACTCAGTTAATAAACACTTGAGATTGTTTTCTAAATGTTACCTTCCTCTCCCCATCTATGTCCAAGCTCACTTCCTTTCCATCTATTTAAGCCATTCCCTCTACATGTCACTTACCCTTTCTGTGTCACTTACCATCTCCATTCTTATCTTCTTATCACTAGCCCTCTCTTTCCCGATACTCACGTCCTCTCCTTGTCATTGACAATGTACATGCCAGTATTATATTAGCTACATAAGAAGAATATTAGCAGCAATCTCCTTCTCAATGTTCCTATCCATCTCTCCTTCTTGTGCCATTGAATTAAATTCCCTTCTCAAGTTTGTCGGGGTTTCTTTTCTTTTTCATCCTTATTCTCCTCCCCCCCCCCCTCCTCACCCCTCTTTCCCATTCCCTTCCCTTTCTCTGTTCTCCGTTGTGTAACATAGAAACAATACAGAAGGTTTTTCGAGGAGATACAAAAACATGCTGTGGACAGTGGTGAGTAGTAGAACAGTGGAATACGAAAGAAGTAGCAAATTGAATTCAGCGTATGATCAAAGGAGGTTTGTGTGTCACTGATATTTTGAGTTATTTCATGTACAGACCACCCCTTTGGTGTTGAGGAGTAACATAGAAGAGATGTGAGTCAGGAGCTATTGTAAGTTGGGTATGCAGTGTGTGATATTATTTGGAACTGTATCTGAACTTATCCATGCCGGTGCAGGTTGTAATTATGCAAAATACTAGGATGTGACATTACACTAGGCAGCAGAAACCTGAAGAGACCTGAAACCAAAAGGAACCCGAAAGCTCCAACCACTGATGGAATCTGCTATTTGGCCATCAGTATAAAAAAAGTTGATTCCCATTGACTTATAGCATAGATCCTAACTTACCCTGATCCTTCGTGTCAGACCTTAGTTTCTTCTCACTAATGTCAACTGAACAAACTAAAATGATGGTTTCTTTTATACTGCATAGTAAAACCCAATGGACTGTCTGTAGATGATGTGCCATCCTTCAGTCTCGGGTCTGGAATCTTGCTTCATTCGAACCATTAACACATCGGGTGCTTGTCTGTTTTATGAAACTGCCATCTGTTTTTGGGCAAGTTATTAGATAGAGTTTAAAGTCAGTGTTTCTGTAGACTTCCCCTCACTTGATATTTCATTCTTGTTATGCCAATGTGGCTATAATGATATAATGTAAGTGCCCCCTACCTCAACATTTATTGAATAATAATTCTTCCCAGGCAGCACACTTTTAGTGACAGTTCTGGTATCCTCTATTTGAAAGGCAATGGAATAGATTTTGTCTGTTTTTACTTTTCATATTTTGCAATATCCAATACTTGGATCAAGATCTATTTGTACATTGTTTCAGTCACTTATGAAGTAGTATAGAATTAACTGATGATGTTCTCCCAGTTAAGAGCAAGTTATTTTAATTCCCTAAAAACCGGATAGCGCACCCATGCTTGTATTTTTATTATGAGATCAATATTTATACAATAATTATATTCTCATAAAGCTAGAAGATAATATTGCAAACGTGCAGCTAAAGTATTTAACACTCTTTTATCCAAATGAAAATAGTTAAAATTGTTTTGTAAGTTATCAGACTCATTAGTTCCTAGCTGTAGAAATCTAAATAAAACATCAAAAAAAGTCAACCGCCAGTGTCATTGGGGTATTCATGAAAATGTTGGATGTTTTTTCCACCATTACCGTTATTATTGATACTCTTCTGTGATTATTAATTTTCTTACTTTTTATGTAGCAATTAAAATTTATTTATATTTACGCTTTTTGCACGAGAATTTTTTTCTATTTTTTGGTGTTTTCTTACACTACTTTTATCTTGGCATAGAAACCGAGGCAGAATGCACACACAGTAAGATTTACAGGTATTCTTAGCTTTTGGGATATAGTTGTAGAGGTGAAAAAATCTACTGGAATATGAAGAGAAGAATGGTGACACTTTGCAGACTAATTTTTGTTGTTGTTGTTTTTTAAATAATTATTTATTTTATTGAGGCATTAGCTCTCATGACACGTAACATAGTATTACATAGAGCAGGGGTAGGCAACCTACGGCACTACTGCCATGCACGGCACTCGAGGTATCTTTGCACGGCACTCAAGGCTGCTAGAGCCAAACGCACTCTGGCCTATCAGGAGTCCCAGTGAATCTTCAGATATCTGCTAATACGAAGAGGTGGTGAAGGACAAACCTCAATTTATGCATTGCAACACATAGAGGAAGTGATCTCAGATCACTTCCTCCCAGCACTTGTGAATGGTATCCACACTGTAGTAGAGCAGCCCTCGACAGGTATCGCAGCTCCTGTCCTTGACCTGTGCCTGGCCAGCCTGGTCCCCACTGGAACCCAGGGAACCCACCCACACTGCTACATATACACAGAAATGTAGAATAACCATCCCATCATACAAATAATATGAACAGCCCACAAACGCAACACCACTAACAATATACATGCATGCACACAACCACACATGCAGCCTCTCACATGCAATACCCCAAACAGCCCCCACACACTACCAAACACACAATGTGACATATCCATCCACACACAATTCCACAAGCAGCCCTCATACACAGCCCACATTCATAAGTATCATACACGATATCATAAACTACTAATGAACATATACAATATAATAGCTCATATACGCACAAATAAAACGATACAAAGCAATTACAATAAAAATAACACAAGCAGAATATGGCAGCATACACACCTCAATTTAAAAAAATAGGATCGGCACGCTACGGGACATCACAATCCTATATCGGCACAGTGCTGCTATAAGGTTGCCTACCCCTGACATAGAGTATGCAGCAAAGAACATGTCAGATACATTAGTAACAGGATTCAAAAATCTTTTTTTGTTTTGTAACAAGAGCAATATTCTTAGCGTAAATTAGATTTTGCCAAAGAAAAGTAGCATGGTATGCATAAGTAAAAAAGACAACATAAGACTATACAGAACTCATGCACTAAGACAAAACATAGGCAGATTTTGAAAACGTGGCTATGGTGAAAAGACCCAAGCAGTTGGAAGACATGAAGGCCCATAGACAGAGGTCTGGTCATCCTATACCCTGAGATGGTAAAGCACAATCCCGCAAATTGTGGGGCAGTCCGTGGGAGAGTGACCCAGAGAAGGATGGAAAAGGGCATTCTGCTGCACCGATGCATTTTTCACATGATCCCCAGTCGCCCGGTAGAAAGTTGGACTAGACTCCTTTGCAAGTTTGGTGTATGCAGACTTGTTTTTAAACACTAATAAATTGAAACAGATTTTTGAATTCCCCAACTACGACACTCTTCAGAACACTTCATCTCTATGTAAAAATCCAGCCCATTTAGTCCATTCCATTTGAAAAGGACAAGAAATTTAGAAAAGTTCTCAATAAAGTGAGCATTTCCCAGAATTCAAAGTAAATACAAAGCAATTTTTTTTTAATTTAGCCCCAAATAGCCAATTTGGAAAATTCTTCAATTCAGCACCAAAAATGTCATTACGATTATTAGATTCGTTAAAAAGCAGCAGACAATGCAGGGGTTAACATACAAAAATGTAAATATCTAAATGCCTTATGTTTTGTGCATTTTACAAAGCTTAAACGGGTCCTGTCATGACAGATTTACTTTAACCTGCAAACTTTGCACAAAGCATAAAATATAAAGAGATAAATTAAATATTTTATTGCCAATTCGCTATTAGGAAACTACTTACCTCCCTTTCAGTGCCACTACCACTGTTATGCAGAGTCCATGGGTGTAACAAACGTTTATATACACTTGCACTTTATATTGCAAATGTCTGAGGTGATGAGGTGGATCATATCTTAAAATAATTGCTTTATAAAAATCTATCTATTTTCTAGCAATTCTGCTTGCGTATACCTACATAATGTTCCCATTAATTAATAAGCCAACATTTTGTATATGTACCAAAGTTGTATATGGCAATATGGCACACCTGCGGCTGATTAAATCCTCTGTCCACTTTCAGATGGGGGGAGGTGCAAGGGATAGGAATTTGGGGATGCAGAAGACGGAGGAACTGAGAAAATACCGGGATGGCCTGGAGCATCAGAAAATATGAAAAGAACAGTAAATTTTCCTTTTTATTTTTTTATGCCAGAAGTAATAGTAATTATAATATAACTGTTATGGTAGTTGCTTTAGTTTGTATTCCAGCCATATTGAGATATTTACTATTATTATTAGGGAATTAGGATAAGCAGCACAATGGCAAGGAGTAAAGGAATAATATATTTTGAAATATGCAGTGTGTGTGTGCGCGCATGTATAATTTCCACAAGAGAGGGTTGGGTGTTGGCTTGAAAGGTGACTTGATATATCTGCTAGAGGTAATTCATATCACCTGTGGGGATTTTCCTCTATTATAAATTGGAGCTTCCGAGGACTTTTTAAAATATTTGTTGAAGATGAAAGGCTCTAGAGATTCCACTGCTATGTTATCATTCTATTTAAACCTAGGGCCATTCTTTTTACCTGTTGTGTTTACACTGGGGTCAGAGTGTCTAGTCAACGCTCACTGTTAATTCAGACAGATAGCTTGGATGCTCAGATACTGAGAGATCTGCCTGTATTTCCCCCTCTCTCTGGTTTTGACCTCAACCTATGTCACTTAATCTCAAAGTAACTAAAGGGAATTTGGTTGGTATTAAAGTTGTCTTGGAGATAATGCAGGTGAGTTAGTTGCCAGCGTTCCTCTCCCGGAGGTAGCTGCATGCATGATTTCAAAGAGAGAAAGCATTAAAACAATATTTGGATGAAGTCCCAGAAAGAGAACAAAATAGGATTATGTGATCAAACAGTTTTGCAGGAGTTTATGTTATATGGGACCTGGCTAGCAGTCAGCGGGTTAAGGTCAAGGGTCACTGGCAAATTGTTTATTATATTATAGTATTTTTCAGAAAATGTAACTTTAATTGAGATTCTTCAAATTAATTAAAATTATGTTTAGATTTTAACCCAGGTGGGGTAAATGATGCCTAACTCCAGGATTTGGAGTGGCATACACTTAATGAACTTCTTTTTTTTTACGTATAGATAAACATAATTGTCCATCCATACAGTCTGTGAAGAGATGGAGCAGTATTGCATTAGAAAGCTCATATTTTGTCAATGTTTGTCAGAAAATTGAAAATGTAGTTCTTCCTCCCATTTGCCTCTATACCGGTAGCAGTGGGCTTTATAAGCAATCACCAGATCTCCAAGATACCACAGGAAATTGGTTTAGTGTTCTGACACAAGGTTTCAAGTGGTGTTATTGGGCAGTCATGCTGCATTGTCCAGAATGTACTTCTAATCATGTATTTATGTAATCCTCCGATCCTTCTTCTCCTACAGAGCGCCGCAATTGTGGAACGACCTCCCGCACACTTTAAAATCTTCCCGAAGCCTAAAGTCCTTTAAGAGATCCCTCTCTACATACCTCAAAACAGAATGCACGTGTCATGGTTGATTATATATTTCCTACCTGTTCTATGTTAGATTTTGTATATATTGTGTATTAATATTGTTTTTGCATTTTATTGTACCCTAATGTAACAGTGCAATGATTTGTGGACCCAGGACATACTTGAAAACGAGAGAAATCTCAATTTATCTTTCCAGGTAAAATATTTTATAAATAAATGTAATCTATGATAGTGAAACCAGGTCAAAAATGTATTGGGGGTGACAGTGGTAGATTGCTCTAGAGCCCTGGGAGTGCCGTGATAAAACAGATTGTGTATTTGGAGAACTAGGGTGTCGAAGTAGTTTAGAATAAGCATTCATTTAAAGGCATCATTGAAGTGGGGGAGAAGCTAAGTGGGTGGATGTGGCATAACTTTGACCATATTTTCATTGTGAAAGAAATAATCAGGTGCATAGTGAAACTAACGCAATCAAGCAAGGGAGATAGCTAGGGCAAAGACTACGAAGGACTCTCCACCTCTAATTGTTTCAATGCGATTCACAATTTTTGCGGAAGTACGATGCCCTACTCCACTAGAAGCAGAAGATCAGAAGCCATTTTGTCATTATATAGGTTTGGCAGCATGATCCATCATTTTAAGGTCAGGCAAGATATCAAATCACAGTCTTGGAGTCTTATTAGCATTGGTAAGCTGGATAAAAGCTGACCTAAGAGCAGCAAAATACGAGGCAGGAATGTATATTGATAGAGTTTGGATTAGATTTGTAAGGCATGGAAGAATGTTCATTTTTAGTATGTAAATGTGACCTAGTCATTTAATGTGTGGAAGTGACCAACAGAGTAGATCATTCCTGATAGATTGTAACAATGAATGAAAGCTTTGGGAGAAAACCTCCTTAGTAGATTCCAGAAATCTACACCCATATATCATGGCTTGTTTTCCTGCTGGAAAGGGAATGAGTGCATCCACTGTAGAGATTTAGGAACAATAATTTCAGATGTAGACATGTGTATTTTAAGGTTGCTAAGGAAGCTGTAGAGGTGGAATCCATGAATTTATATAAGGAAGTGAGATTGTGGTTTGTGTGATTTAAACAGAAGACCCTGCCAAGACCTATACTCCCCATTAGGGGTATCAATACAATGGATTAATGGGTCTTTATAAATGCATGTTGGAAAATGTTCTAAATGTCAAAGCAAATAGCAAAGGGAATGGGGACACCCCTGCCTCATACCATTAAAAATTGAGAAATGTTCCGACAGAGATCCACTCAAATTAATACTGGTAGTAGGAGTGGAGTATAAAGAACTGGCCCATTTAAGCATATTAGGGCAAACGCCTATGTGGCATAAAGTTCAAATAAGAAAAATCCAGTAGATCCTATCGAGATTATTTTCCTTGTCTGTGGAAAGAAGCTATTTGGGTGAACCTGATGTAGCCTCTCTGTGGATAAGGTTGAGCACCCTAGTGGACCCCTCCAGGGCTAGTGGATCCACCTGATCCAGTCAAATTAATTAGGCCTGTGCTGTTTAAGGTGATCTGTCAACACATTTGCCAGAAGCTTAGGATCAGCATTAAGCATTAATATTAACATGTAGCTAGGTCAAAACTCAGGGTGCTTAACAGTTTTTTTGTGATGGTTGCATTTATATCATGAGGGTGCAGATTTATATTATATTTATAATATCGAACAGTGAGACTGACAGGGCACTGACAAGAGCATCTCATCTGGCAGGTGAGTTTGGGAGTCATCCATCTTTTTAAGTTTGGGCACGCAGAAGAAAGACCATGCTTTTTTTAATAAGTCTAGCCAAAATCTTCCCACTCTTATTGCCAATTTATAAAACAGATTTTATATTATTTAAAATTTATAAAACAGATTTTATTTTGTGCCTTTATATTGAGGAGAAAGGTGACTTGGGACCCAAGGTGTAGTAGGTGAGTATAAGAATCATTTGATATGTATGTTTGCGCTCAGACTCTTTAATCTGAGTGAGAAGCGAGTTTAAACATTGTTGGCTTAAACCTTGCATCTAGCCCTTGTTGAATGAGATAACCTCTAACCACACCAAAGGTCATGGTGTTTTTTGATGTTGTAATGTGTAAGTTTGAGATGAGGGTTGTGATGGATCAGTACATGTACAAATCCTGCAATACTACACCTTTAAATTTTTTTCTTATAAAAATATCATCATTATAATGAAATATATAAAAAATAATGTACTTTATCTTATGAAAAATATTAATGTGAATCGTTAAATTTAAATATCCTGCTTTTTCTCTGGTTAACAGCTCCGATGAGATTAGGTTTCATTTTCAAGAATTTAGTTTGATACCTTAAGTGGCATCAAACTAAACTCCAGAGCAGGATTGACCTTACGTGCACATCTAGGGCCCAGATATTAGACAAGAACCATGGAACCATGAATTTGTTTTTCCCCATTCAACATCTCTATGTAAAAAATTGTGGGTGGGTGGGAGGATAAAATGGTAATATGCCTAGGGCCTTGAGGGATTTTAATAATTTTCTCTTGATCCTGAATATTGCCTAGAATTCATTATAATGAATTCATAGAACAATTAGGCACATTGTCTATTACTCCGAATCTGAATAATAGAAGAATTTCTACATATCTATAAGTAGAATTGTTATTTTTCTTGAATATAAAATTTTTTCTTGAATGTACATAAACTTAGTTATAATAAATGAACTAAATATGCAAACACTGTGACAGTAGTGGCATTTGTTTGCCAACAAATTTGGAATTTGTTAGAATTCAACTAGAAAATTTGACAAAAAGGAATCAGATTATATTTTTAACTTCTGGTGATCGGTGGTGTCTGAAAACAAACTAATATTAGATCATAATTATAATTGTTTTAATAGTGCTAAATTAATATATTACATATGTGGTATGCTGAAGCACTGATACTAGCTGAGCGATAATATTTAAAGATGTATTGCATTATTGCCATATTGATCCTATATAATAAAAAAATCAGGAAGAAATTGCAAAAAAAAGAGAAACTGTGTTTTTTACCATTCATAAAACTCTTATGCTACTTCATGCTTGTAATTTTATGAAGGCATTTTCCTAACCACTGGTCTTTAAGTGGTTAAACAAAATTCAGATTCCTTCTGTAATTAATACAAAAAATGCATTTCAGATTGTGAAAATGTAGGAATTCAAACTGGAAACATTCCCATTGTGTTTTTATTTTCATGAATTGTAAAAGAAAATCTACAAATTCTTCCAACTGTCTGAACTTTCTGTGATATTCTACTATTAGATTAAATATGTATGTGGCCAATTATAAAATAATCTGTTTAGTTAGAAAAGCAAACTTTTAAGAAGCATTGTAATCTGTAGACATAAACTCATATTTTGTTTTCCTATCTTATCTCTTCACCTGCAATCTTAACCTTTTCTCTGGGTGAATAGTGTTTCTTTATCGTAAAGTTTTTACAGGAGTGTTATGATAAAAGACACAGACATGGGTTTAATTTGTTTTGAATCATGAGTTCTACTGTTGTAAAAGTCAATTTCTTGATTATAAATTTCTATTTGAAGATGCTTTATAAGAAAACTATTTTAAATTCAATAGAACGCCACAAATGATTGTCAATATGTAAAAAATGAGAATAAATTAGAAATTTGTAAACTATTTTACTAAAGTATTTCACATATCATACCACAGTATACCATGGGTGTGTATATCAAACATATATTATTTATAATATTATTTATAAAAAAAAACATACATTGTGATCTATAAAATAGGTATGACAACGTGAAGTCTTTTTTTTTCATACACATTCCTCGCCACACAAGGTGGTGGGGACCCAACTTGATGCTATATCTTTGTTTGAACTACAGTTTACTTCACTGTTCTGAGACTAATTAATACATCCAACGTATTACCGTCCGCTCGGTCACACTTCCCGATCCTATCTGTGTGAACAATTGTTACTGTGGAGAGCGAGCGCTTCGCCGGCTAGGGGAGACCCGGGCATGGTGCTGTGCTCGTTTCTTCTGCAGTTACATGGATCCCCTCGCTAACCCAAAGCTTTTGTTACTATCAGGGGTGATTACTCGCCCCTTTGTTTTAGTCCCTTTCCCTTTTCCTGTCCCAGTTTGTTAACGCACCGATAGATCGCAAGGTGATCCCCTCCGCGCATCTCGGGCTGGGTACTTTCTGGGGGCCTGCCTAGTCTTGGGAGACTCTTACCGCACACACATCAGATACCCAACCGGAATACAGGACGCACCTCCTCAGGGGACTATGACAAAAATTAATCTCAATTGCGTTCCTCCAGGAGACACACTTTCTTGAGGGCTTGGCCCCTGCTCTAAAAGACAGAATGTACTTTTTCAGCAACCACCCTACCTCAAAAAAGTCAGGAGTAGCCATTTTTCTAGCCATGAGGTTAGACTTTACAGAAATAGACAAGGTAGCTGACCCAGAGGGCAAATTTATCTTCATAAAAGGCACCATCGCAAACATACATATCTGCTAGCATGCATCTATGTCCCCGCGACAACACGCTCTGAGTGCTCTCCATACAACACCTCGCAAGAAAAACGAGAGAGAAAGCCTTTGATCGGGTGGACTGGACATTCCTAATGGAGACGCCCTGGGGGGACGGGATTTGGCCCTAAGCTTCTCGAGTGGATTGCCGCCATATACAGTCGGCCGAACGCACGAGTCTGGGTAAACTGAGCACTCACTGATGCTTTTCCAATCCAGAACGGTACCAGGCAAGGATGCCCCCTGTCCCTGCTGCCATTTGCTCTCTCACTGAAACCCCTCTTTGAAGCAATAAGACATCAGGGGCTTCACCTCAAACGGAACCAGGCATAAAACAGCAGTGTACGCGGATGACATGCTGTTCTTTGTTACGCAACCCAGAATCTCATGTGTCTGATGCAAGAATTTATGACTTATGGTCGACTCTCGGGTCTCAAACTTAACCTGTCAAAATGCAAAGTCCTAAACCTTATGGTCCCCAGCAGAGAGTACGATTCCCTGCGTGCACAGTACCGGTTGCACTGGTGCGAATCCAAGATGAAATACCTCGGACTCTGGCTCACAACGGACCCACACAACCTTTATCAAACCAACTTGATACCGCTCCTGACTAAGATACTGCAGGATCTTCACACATGGAACTACCAACATATCTCGTGGATAGGGCTAATAGCTGTCATAAAGATGAACATCCTGCCCAGACTCCTTATCTTTTTCAAACACTGCCTATGTCCTTACCCACGGCATTCTTTTCATCTCTGAGATCCGCAATCATAAAATATGTGTGGAATTGTAGTCGACCGCAACTCAGACACGAAACTCTCTGCTTGCCACGACACTGGGGGGGTGGGGGGGGGTCTTGCTCTCCCAGACATACAGAAATAACACCACGCCTCCACACTACAGCGCATCCTGGAGTGGCACTCCCGGCCACCACACAAACAATGGATCGAATTAAAAGAGGCCTCCAGAGACACACAACTGTTTGAAGATGTGTGGTCAACTCGGATATATCCACAGGATATCCCCTGCAGCCCAATACACACTGTGTCTAATCAGATATTACAATTATTAAAAATTGTGATCTTTGTGTGCATCTTTACTGTGCATTTAATATGATTATCTTACCAGTGCTATAAAATAACATTAAATCATTTCACCTTTCAAGACGTATTTCATTGGGGTCGTTTACACAATGTTCCTAACTATTGTTTTGTTGATTTTAGTTATTATATTATAATACAATAGCTGTTTAAAAAAAAAAAAAACACAGACAGTGGAATAAAATACATGTTAGTGGTCTGTAAATAGCAATTGGTAGTGTGATGCCTGTAACTGCAAATAGTGGATTTTCCTGTTTATACCATTTTTAAATATAAGAACACAAAACATACAGTTTATTGATACTGGTTATACTCTAAATGTGTTCAATTCTTGACTGCTAAAGATAACTCATTTTGGGATCCAATTATAACTATACTTACACAAACACACACAGAAACACACAAGAGCATGAATACACAAAAACATGCTAATCATTTGTATTTGTAGTCACACAGTAAGTTTTTCTCACCAGCACCTCTCTATTAGCATGTCAATCATGAGAGAGGAGCCCACTGAAGGGCAGTAGCAGCAAATAATGGCTGTTGTCAGGGAGTGTGATTCTCATTAATATCATATATACAGAGAGGGCATGATTGTCCCAGTGCTGTCGTACAAGTGAGAAAATAAGTGCTTCTCTGTATTGAGTCACACTCATGAATGTTTTACAGGTTTTACCCATGAAACATTGAGACCAGTTTAGAAAAACTCGGGTTTACTTTAGTGAACACATTACCAACTCAGGTTAAGTTGGTTGTGGAGTTGATGTTCTGAGACAAACACCTATCTAAGTCAACCAAACCTTAATTGGTTGAGTATTTCTCTCTAAACATGAGTCACGTACGCTCAGGTTTCACTCTGTTGGGTATTGTTCACATGTATAATTTTAACAAGGTGTACAAATCATCTTTTGCATTAAGTAGATATAAACAGCTTTAAAGATGGAGAAGAAAAACGGGGTAACATTAGGATCTGCCTTTTACAGATAAGAGATTTAGATGTGTGGAATGGCTGCAAAAATACATGTAGTACAGAAATAACTAATAATATAAAGAATTATATATAAATGTAAAATAAAAGCTAAGTTTTAAAAGAGAATAACCATGACAACATTCCATACATCCTTAAGCAAGGGAGGGGTCAACTATATGGACCCACAAGCTTATTGTAAATCATTTGATAATTAATCATATAACTTATGTGTGCTGAGATATTTTTTTTTTTAATTCTTTATTTTGTGCCGCACACAAAAGCAGGAGAGGGCCGACATTGTCCTAAAATAAGGTGAATAAACATTTAAGTACATACATTACATAGAAGATTCACTGCAATTCGCTTTGAGTGTGTTTTGCGTGCGAGAAGGGGTTTTATGTTTTGGGGCTTGGTCTGTGTCAGGTTCTTGGGTTAGTATCTGGTCTGAGGTGGGCTAACGTGTGGTATTCGTGTGTTATGTGGAGCCCGTATGCTCAAATGAGGAGACAGCTCTTTGTTGGGAGGTCACCGCTTGGGCCCCTGCTGTGTACGTCCTCTGTGTGGTGGGCTGCAGTTGTGATCCGTATGCCCATAACGTGGCTGCATGAGTAGCCTGGTGTGGTCCAAACGGTATTGTCAACTTTGAGTTAAGGAGAACCTCTAGCATTTCTGTATGTCTAGTGGTTATGCTCTATTGTCGTAATGGAGGTGGGGGGGAAAGGTGGATACCCGCTTGTGTCAGCGGGGCTTGGTCAGTCATGTAGGGTGTTATATGGCATGTGTATACATATATGCTCAAACTCAATCAGTTGGATAGAAAAACATATAAAAATCAATAAATGGATAAACATAAAGAGTCTTGTCTTCTTCGTGTGGAGAACTATGCTGCTTCGAAATGCAGGCATGAACTTGGTAAGAGAGTCTTTGGATGTGTGGCTTAGGGCCTTGTGCATTGAGGTGCTGCAGGTTCACTTTGGGGTCCTGTGTATTCCGAGAGATGGTAAGAGCATGATAGAGTCCAGTGGGCGACTGAGAAAGAGGTCACCAACAGATAGAGAGTGTCTTCACCCTCGAACCGCAGGTTGTGTATTGTCCTTTGTGAGAGAAGGAGTTATTGCTGAGATCCATCTTTCAGGTGGTAGCTGCTGTGTACGCTGTTTTCCCTGTGTCTTGTGGGCTGAAGGGGACTATCTTCGCTGGGTCCCAACATGGATTCGCTGTTGGCTGCTCCGGGATTGTGGATGTCGGTACTGCTTCTGTCGGCAGGCCCAGTTGACGCAGCAGAGAGGCGGCTTTGTGGAGGTTTCTGATGGAGTGGACCACGTTATTATGTGTGATTTGAAGTGTTCTCAGTGAGTGCCAGCGTTAGTGAATGTGGTGACTTCTTAACAGTGTGGTTAGGGGCCGCAGGGAGCACCCGATAGAGCTGCAAAAAATGACAAGTCCATATGTTCAAAGCTGTAGGTGGCTGCCCCCTTCAAGGCCTTGATAATCGCTGTTTTGTCTGCCGCACTTCTGAATCATACTATTAGGTCTCGGGGGGCCCATTCCGGACCCAGAAGGCAGCCTCTACAATGACATTTTTAGCTTGCGTGGGTGCCAGTAGGGCTCCAAAGAGTCTTCTTAGGAAGTGCAGGATTTCTTCTGTGGGTAAGTCTTCCACGAACTCGCGGAGTTTCAGGTTATTTTGACGTCTGGCGTCCTCCATTGCCGCGAAACGTTGCTTGCTCTTGGCTTGCTGTAGTTGGAGTGCTGTCACCTCCTGTTAGCGAGTTCTTGTGTGTGTTGTGAAGAGGACGCCTCCACCACAACGATGAAGCCTACCAGGTCCATGAGGTCAGCGCGTAGCTGGGCTACATCTGCCTGTAAGATCTTTTGTAAGTCCCCCAGCATGTTTTTTAGCATTGTAGCCGTCACAGTTTCCATGTCCCTTGAACCCGGTGCTGGTTGAGGTTTTGCGGGAGGTTGGTTGCCCACAGCCTCTGCTGGGAAGAAGTTGTCTGAGGAGTCAGAGTGACCATGTTGTTTGTATTTTACTGATATATAATGATATGTGTGTAATCTAGTATTATAGCATGAAAGTAAACATCTGAAAACTAAATAGATTTAATTCAATAATAGTACACAATTAATAATAAAATGATTTTATAGACAGACAGACAGAATGACAGACAGATAGACATCTAACAAAAATTTTTATAATGTAAAACGCAATGTCTTTTTGGAAAATAACTATAGACAGTCTTATTATCTAGGAAATCAATTAAACTTTTGTGGATTTCAATCAGATAATTATTAATAATGTATTCAGAGTTAAAGAAAAGACTTTAGATAATGAATCTCTGGCAACAGCTTGCCAGATGCAATTGGGTCTGTCCGGTCTTTGTTTTTTTGTCTTTTGTCCCATGTTGAGTGGGAATCGGGGGGTTTCTTTTTCTGATTTCTGGGATATGGAAAAATGCCTTTTTTATCTGTATTTCCACGTAGCCCACGTAGCATGCATCTGCTTGGTTCTGCTGTCAAGCCTTAAGTCCGAGATATTTAATTGTAATAGAATAACCACTGCTGATTAATAATAATGATACAAACTGTTTAAACATTGTTTTATTTTTTTACGTATTTATATTAATTTAACAGATATATTGCATAACAATACTAACACTCCCGTTCTGAAACAAATACAGATTTAATTGGATTAAAGGGGTAGTATCTTTTTAACATGATAACATCTTTTACTGCCCAGGTCTGTGCATCATTCCCCATCATACATTACCACTTCCTGTAATGGCAAAGGTTCTAAAGGACAACTCAGTCCTTTAAGGAAGCTTGATCGCTGTATATGTTTGTACATATAGAAGAGGCATAACCCGTCTTGTTCCCATTGCTGTTCTTACGATGGTTGGGATCAGAATTAAACCTATGTATCATCTCAACCATGCTGTGAAAATGGAGCATTGGCGTAGAATGGGGAATGGACAACTATCTGATATTATTATCCAATGTCATATAGTACCCTCTATAATTGGATATTAATAAAAATGTTTATTCCCCAGTGACTACAGATGTTAAAATGTATTTGTTTTGTATTTCGTATTGTTTACGATTTGGTATGTTTGGAGTCTCTTAATCTAATGAAATGTTTTGGCTACAGACTAGGAACCAGGTACCTCTTTTTCTTACATCAGAGATTGTGACCAACCATACAACTCTGGCATGTCAGCGTTCTTCCCATCCCTTGTACAGGTAAGTCACACACTCTGCACCCTAATGGGAAGGTATTTTTTTTTCTGCAGCATTTTGGTAAAACAAAAACTATTTGGTTCTTTCATTTCTTTCTCTCACTCGCTCTCAATTTTTGTGGTTGCTGTGAATGGGGCTCAGATTGCATTTTACCTTGTAACATCCTGTTACCGTAAGCTCTTCATTATCATTTGCAGATCTAAAAATCTGTAATAAAACGTGAACTGTAATGAAGCATATATGCTTGGATCCTTTGTAGCACAAATCCCTCCTTCACTTTGTTTTATTGTACGCCATGGCTTTGAGATCAGAAAAACATGTTCGTCCCACCCATTCTTCCATGTTTCTATCTGCTGTAAAAGATCAGATCTGTTTAATTGTTATCCTTTCCTGGAGCCTAATGTCTCTCCTAAGTTTCTTCCATTTATGTTACTGTATCAGTCTATTGGGAGGCTGCTTCGTTTCTGTATGTGTCTACACTACATGGCGTACCTTGGCCGTGAATAGTCATAAAACATGCAGGTATTGTCTCATCATTCATATACCCAAATCGCGCTGGAGACATTGTATCCTGGATCACTGAAATCCTTTCACCTGTTAGAGAAAAGAGAAGAGTTTGAACAGGGAAAGCTTCTTTAACCCGCATGTGTGTTTCTCTCCCTTTCCTCATTAGATCTATTGCCTGTCAATACACTTCACATGGCAGTACGACTAATTGGACAACTTTCTCAAAGAAAAACAAATTCACTTAAACCTCTGATCTACACAACAGCTGAACAAAGCCTCTTGCTCCCCTCCTCCTGCCCTACTGAGGGGTTTCTAAATGGATGTCCTCTGAGGATTTCATTTACCTAAGAAATCATAATTAAAAGCTTGGATGCAAGATCTAGCGAAACACACAGCTTTCTGTATCCACACTTATCCCATCTGAGTGCAGGCTTTTTTCCATATTAGACTTACATCTCACTTGAGTTTCTGAACATTCTATCTCCCCCCCCCTCCCTCTGCTGACCTATAACCCTGTTATTTCATGCCATTGTTACTGTATTTATTTACTCTGAACTCTTTCTTTGCATGGAACTACTGACAAGTACATCTAATTGGTTCCCCAATTTTAGTAGCAAATGTAGGAAAATTGCACTCATCCCTCCTCCCCCCTCCCCATCGCCTTGTTACTAGAACCCACAGTCAAATATACCCTTCAAATGAGAGCTAAAACATCTTCATCCTAATAATTACTCATTTGTCAAAAGCACGGCCATGCTGCAAATTATATCTGATGAGTTTTTCTCAGACCATCTATCCACACATCATCAACAAAAATGTTTTTCTATCAGCTGGAGTTTTCTTTCCTTTTTTTTTTTTTAAATTATGATAACTTGTCGGAATATACAAACTCACCACCTTTAACTTACAAGATGCAGATGTTTATTAAGCTTCTTGTTCCACATGATGAAAATAAAAATATTGTGGCTGGCTTTCAGCTATAGTGATGTTTTCCTTGCTTTGAAACAGGTAGATAATTTAATTTTACTCATATAGCAAAAAAATATTGGCCTAATAAAAATATATAAATCTATATTTTATTTACTGTTGTTTGTATTTTACTGATATATGATGATATGTGTGTAATCTAGTATAACAGCATGAGAGTAAACATCTGAAAACTAAATGGATTTAATTCAATAATAGTACACAATTAATACTAAAATGATTTTATAGACAGACAGAAGGATAGATAGAGAGAGAGAGAGATAGATGGATGGATGGATAGATAGATAGATAGATAGATAGATAGATAGATAGAGATAGAGAGATAGATAGAGACATCTAACAAAAATGTTATAATGTAAAACACAATATCTTTTTGGAAAAGAGCTATAGACAGTCTTATTATCTAGGAAATTAATTAAACATTTTTGGATTTCAATCAGATAAATATTAATAATGTATTCAGAGTTAAAGAAAAGACTTTAGATAATTAATCTTTGGCAACAGCTTGCCAGATGCAATTATTTTTTTTTAAACTGCATTTACTATTTCCAATTACCAAAATTATTATATTTATTTATTTTTATTTTTCTTGACGTGGAAAAAAAAAGCATTTCATTTTGCAGAAGTCTAATAATTGTCATTGGTGAGATCAATGGAGAGCCTTCTGTATGAAAGCACATTATCCAAAGTGAAGCAATTTTCTAAAATTACTGAAACCAATAAAAATCTAATTATTGCATTGGCAGTATAAATGATGCTGTACTTTGTAATAACATCTGCCGGAATAATTCAATGTTCCGAAAGATATGACTGAAAAAGAAACAAAAAGATACATATATATTTAAAAGCTTTTATTCATAGACGGCTGTTCTTGTTTGCATTGCATTACAATTTATTTCTTCCACTTATGTTCTACTATACAACTAAATGTATGATTAACCATATTTAGAGTGCAGTCGATTTAGAAATGAAATTAAAATTAGCTGTGTGTCATTTCTTTAGCTTTGTTTCATGAATTAAGGTTACAAAGACAATATTTAATACAATCTCTCTAATACCTGATGAAGGGCAACTCTGTTTATGCCAGAATCTTTCATAATCTGTAAAATAATTTGATCCTAAAAACTGTGATAGGTGTAATTTAGCCCCGATCTGAAATACATTCCTGTAGTGTTAATGCCATCACCCTCAAAACAGTAAAAGCTATAAAATACTAATGCATAAAAAAGCAACTGATGAATATTACTGTACCCCAAATCTTTAAATATCAAGTATATATAGTCTATATTTTTATTTATTTCTTTTTAAATATTTGTACAAAATAGACGTGTAATGTTTAATAGTCAGAAAGGCAAAATAGATGTAATATACAAATTTTACAAAACAAATAGGTTATAAAATATTAAGTAAAGAAAATTTTAAACATAGTTGTAGTAATTACTTTGAAAATATAAGATAACTCAAAAGTTATTTGCCTCCAAAAAGCACAAAAAACAACAACTTTTTTTTTTAATTCGAGGAAAAACAAATGCGTTAAAATATTTTTAAACCAAGATAAGAGGTTTGTAACAAATTCAGAATTGAGAAAGGAACTGCTTGAAAGATATATTTTCTATTTAGATGGATTTAGAACTGTCAGATAATCTTCCTTCTTACTGTTAGTGAACCACTGAACGCATTGATATAAGATTAATTTTATATGTAATCCAAATCTCATAGATTAAAAAATCAAGGTTTTAGCCTGGTGTGCATGATCATACAATCTCACGTGCATGATTTTTATTCCCCAGAAATAATAATTTAAAAAGGTTGAATTATATTACAACCTGAGAGTCGTGCATTTTGTCAAACGTGAAAGGGTTAATAATTTTCATTCACATTCAGGAGGTTTTTCAGAATCTACATGTACATTTATGGGAACTTTCATCCCAACTAAACATATATAGGAAGTGTGTAATTTATTCCCTTTAATTTAATGATTTTATAAATATAAATCCGTTTAAATACTACCTTTATATATGAAATACCGTCAAAATGTTTGTTGTTGTTTCATCGTGTCAATAGGCAGAAATAATAATCTGAGTTTATCAATCATGTAAAATAAATGTTGTCTTTTTTTTAAAGTTTTTTTTGTTTTTTTTAGTACATTTTATTTTTAGTATATTACCAATTTTTTTGAAAACTATTATCTGCAGAATAGGGCATTGATGGCTGACTTTCACATCACAGGAAATATCTGAACTGCATTACTAAAACTGTAATCCAGACAGAAGTCTGGCTGGGCATCATGGTAACTGTAGTTTACAGGCAACTAGAGTCAAAATTAGCTATCACAGAGCTTGGGATATAAGATTCTCCTGGAACTTTGTTATAAAAGACGCACATGTTTTTAGCATTTTGCCCTGGACAAAAGAACAATGCCCTTAGACGCTAGAATGCCAGCCTATAGCTCAATGATTTTATTAGTCATTTTTATTTCAAGTACTACTGTCTCCCAGGAACCTTGGCCTGTTCTGCTGAGAATTCTATTAATGTCCTTCCGTCCATAATGCTGTTCAAACTCAATCATATTGCAAATTGACTAGAGGAAAAAAATAAAACAGCTCTGCTTGCTTAGCTTTGCAGAAGAAATTTAACCCCTTAGCAACTGACAGAGCAGACAGAGAGTTGCCGTCAGGTTTTTAAATTTTTTGGTGAACGAAAATAGTTGAACGTATCTTGTATTAGTAAACTGTGTACAGCTCTAGACGAATATAGTCTTTTGCGATCTGCACTGTATCTTGCTGCGCTGAGCCTGCGAAAGGTGCAACACTGAGATTAACCCATTAAAACCATTTCAACTGGTGTTTGACGTGACAATTTTATTTTAGAAATGGCTAGGAACTTACTTTTACTATAACGGTGGAGAGGAAATCCCCGTACAATGGATAGACTCTTTGTTAAGCCCCTTACAGTTTATTTGATCATTTCAAAAACAACACTGTTGTAGTTAGGTTACAGCAAAGCAATGCTATAAGTATAGGATCAAAGGTGTCCACAGTTTTAAAAGACCACAATATATGTTATTCATTCCTTATCTATTATTCCACCTCATCATGTTTCCTGCTCCTAATGTCTTGTTTGATTAACCCTTATTTAAAACTTCTATTGTGCCCCATAATTCGATTTGCAGAATAATAAACAAACCCCTTTTATACATAAAATCAATGCATTCAAGGGTTAAAAAGATTAAAAAGTCCTTTCATCATATAAATTAAAGATGGAGCATGCCATTGTATAAATGAACAGATGTTTGGAGTGCAGCAGGTTGAAAGACAAGTTTGTTATTAGGCCACAACTAACTTGTGACTTGCGCTTCTGTTGTAAAACCCCAAGTCACTGTCGGGCTTATACACTAAAATGTGAATTCTCCGGAATTCAAAGGGAAAATAGAGTCAGTTTAAACTTTTAGGCCAAAATAGCTAAACTGACAACAAACTGGTTATTTGAAATTCACTTTAAATGGACTCTGAATTCCTGGCAATCAACCATTTAGTGAATACTAGTGTGACTATGTTTGTTTTGTTCAATCTTTAGTCTAAGAAAGATTAAAAGAAACAGCACCTTTCAAACCTGAAAATTTAATGTACATCTCCTTCCCCAGGTGAACATGGTGTGCTAATGAAACGTGTGGCCCCACAGTCGCGCTGGGCCTCAGTTCTAATAATTCCTTTATCAATGGTGATGGGTAATGCTATCTAACTGCAGGTACGGTGCACGTTGCTCACTTTATACAACTGTTTTAGACAAACATATTTCTCTATTCTAGAATCAGATTTTCTAATACTGTTGAGCAATCATATTAGTCTTGTTGTTCTTCAGCTCTCTAAATGATGGTTATCAGTGGTGTTTTCAATAACCAAATCATTAAAGGTCACTTCTCAAAAGCCAATTAAAGTGGCGTCTCCACGGCAATGGATGGACTAGTAAAGATCACTCTACATAAGCCTGCCGTTGAGAATTTAAGGAAGGTACAGTTTTAATTTTCTCTATGCAGCTTAGTAAAGTGTGAGGCTGTAATGTTTTTCACTGAGCTATGTAAAGTACTGTACTTCTAAACCGTATCTCTGTTATGACATGTGCAGAGATAGCTAAGATTAGCAAGGTATGATAATGTGAAAATATATCCTAGAAAGAAGTAAAACTAGTTTATAATTGTCAGCTGCCAAACAATGTATAATAGTTTAACAGAGGAAATACAATACAAAATGGCGGATATGCAAATACAATACCAGCTGACATAGAAGCATATACAAAAATAAAACATAATAGATACAACAATATCAGATCATATATCAATGTATACAGCCATGCAATACAAGATAATATAACAGGAACGGCAATAAACTACAAACCAGTGTAACAGCCAGTACACAGACTCAACACAAGTTAATATAGTAGCAGATACAACATTACAATATTATATAGGATAACAGGAGCTACAAAAATGCAATATGAGACAGTATAACAATGGGAAGAAAAAGATTCTAACACAGTACATACAATAATGCCATACATGACATAATAGCAGCACTTACGTAAATGGCATACAAAATGTACTCTGTAATGGCCGATAGCAGAGCAATACCGTATTGTGTAACACTCAATATAACCACACAGGACAGAATAGTATGACAGTAAATACAACAATGTGATATAAGATATTTAAAAGGGAATGCAATGCAAGACAGCATCACAATGGGTTAAACAATGCAATAAAGGAATCAGATACAACAGTGCAATTCAAGATTATATAATATTGGATACAAAAGGGAAAATCAACAATGCAAGATTACACTTAATTAGGTAGAAATGATGATATGACAGTGGATATATTTTAATGCAATACTTGAAGATACATTGATACAGAAATATAGTACAAGCTAAAACAGCAGCAAGTCAGACTGCAATTCCACATGATGAATTGAATAAAGCAAAATGAAGTATAAAATTAAAAAACTCAAAGCAATAAATATTTTGAGCCACTAAAAAAGATCCCGCCCCTCATACATAGGAACAATCTTTATACAGTTTAAAGAAACACACTTCTAAAGCACTTTAGCTTACTGAAATGATTTATGTGTGAAGAGAGGGCCCTCATTTTTCAATATACAAAAAGTGCTGATTTCATTAGAAATTGGCCCTTTTGTGAATGTACCTTGTTACACTGCCCAGCTGTCAATTAGACCACTGGTTCTGTTACTTCCTGGTTGTTTAGCTCAGCTGAGCTAAACTCAAGAGGCAGCAATTGCCCAGAATACCTGCTAGCAAAGGACTTCTCATTGAGCTGCATTGAGAAGTCTGCCATTGGACAGCCACAGGAAGTCTGGGCTGAGGAAAAGGGGAGGACTTGAAAAGGCAGCCGACAAGAGATCTGATTTTAGATATACCCCCAATGAAAAAATACATGCACTGCATTTTATTTTCAGTTGGAGTGTATCTACTAAATAGAGATTTATTTATGTATTTATTTATTTATTTATTTGGGCAGTCAAGTGTTCTTTTAAATAAAAAAAAATATCACTTACAATATAAAAATGTCATTGCGTAACATAATTCTCTCATTAAAGGTACGATTTACCCCATCCTCTATAGTTCAGCAGTTAGGGGACAACTACTTGACATCTATTTAATTCCATATGAAATATAAGAGACCCAGTACACTATGATTTAAAACACAAAACTATTGTTGTCGAGTATTGGCAAGATGAAGAAAGGAAAGAAAGAAAGAAAGAAGGAAGGAAAAAACAAAGAAAGAAAGTATTGAGCCAAGCTGAAAGCTTAAAATATGCAACCAAATGTTTAAAAGTAACCAATTGTTTAAAATTTGAATATTGACTGAATGTGGACCTAATTTTAATAGTAAAATTCCATTACCACTGGAATTTTCTTCAGTAATCGGGCATGAAAATGTATATATTTTTGTGGTATAATGAAAGGCTAATTTTTTAATCCATTTAGCTCATCCAAATCATTTTTCCTGATTCGTTTGAAATGCAGCATCAACAAAATTCTGTCTTACAATTTTTTTTTTAATTTTGGCCAAATCAAATCACCGAACCAAATTTTCTTCAAAGCATATGTGTCTGAATACTATTGCTAGCCAAAACCTTAAATGCCTTCCTACATTATTTTACCTTAGAATGACAATATCCCATCTCTCCGTCAACACTACGGAGTCTATTTACTAAAATACCAACTGTAAGCTGCAAACCAAAGGGCAAGATTTAGGCAACAATAACGGATCTGGTATAATAGGGCAAGGTTCTAGTAAAACATGGATGTAATATATTAATTTCTGGTTACAATTATTTATTTATAAAATATTTTACCAGGAAAGATACATTGAGATTTCTTTCGTTTTCAAGTATGTCCTGGGTCCACAAAACATTGCATTGATACAATAGGGTACAATAAAATACAAAAACAATATTAATACACAATATATACAAAATTTTACATAGAACAGGTAGGAAATATATAATCAACCATAACACGTGCATTCTGTTTTGATATTAAAACATGGATGTAATATATTCATTTTTTGTTACAATGATGAATCTTGAGTATACCAATGGAAATAGAATTTGTCTTGCCAACATATTTAACAGAAAATAAGTGTGTGAAATGTGTATAAGCATAAGGAGAGTGAAATGGTAAAATTATGAATATTATCAACTTCCCGACCAACATGTACATGCAAGTTTAAATTTAATATATTATTTGCAAAAAAATCTAATGAATAATGTCCTCGTGTCTTAACACTCCATGTTAGTGTACATTTGGAGGTAAAATTAATTTCTGTAAATATTGCTTTCGCCCTCCACTAGAAACAATGTGGCGATTGTTGGGCACATTGCAGTTCTTCTATGCATCCTTCATTATCCTCTGCAGTATACATTTCTTTTATTTTGTTAGAAATGCAAGTCTACTCATTGTATACACGTGTTTTCCCAGCATACAGACATTCATTTTATAGTCTGGTGATATTTGTGGGCATCTGCATTCCCAAAAATGCCAGCAAGTTTCTTATGAATAGCAATAAGCAAAGTATTTGACAATGATTATTTTTACATCTTTCTCACAACTATTGTAATTAAAGGGATTTTATAGTGGAATGAATTACAAAGTTGTATTCCTTACACTAGAGTTCCCTTTGCCCTGTACCTTGCACCCCCACCCCTGACAACATGAAAATGGTTAAAAAAAAAACCTTTGTGTACTCACCCAATTCTACCTCTGTGCTGGGTTGGCGCTCCGCCTCCTAGGAAAGCATGCTGCAATGCTTCATAATGCAGAGCGTAAGGATGTCCAGCATCAGTTAGATGACCAAATGTCGCTTAGCAAGCAGGAAGTGCCTGAAGTGACTGTCTGATTAACAGCCACTAGAGGCAGTCTTAATCCTGCAATATAATTATTGCAATTTTTCTAAAACTGCAACGATTCACATTGCAGGACTAAGTGGGACAGTTACACTGCACCCAGACACTTCAATGAGCTGAAGTGGTCTGGTTGCCTATAGTGTCCCTTTAACGAAACTGATATTTGGGTTTCTGCACTAAAATTATAAACTCAGTCTTCAGTATTGCAAGATATTACTTTTATTGCTCTAACATTTCTGTAAAAAAGCAACAAATAAAAAATAAACAAAATTACTATTTCTTCTTACATTTATATGTATATATTTATGTAAGGTTTTTTTTTATGCCAACTGTATATTGCATTAATCTGGATAAAAGAAAAGAAATTAGTGAAGGGGTTAACAGTGCATTGCATACCACCCAACATACAAATGCCAAGGGATACTTAAAACTGTTAAAAGTTAAACACGTTAACTCAGATTCTAGACTTTTTAAATTGTTACAGCTGCACAAAAAGGATGATCTCTTTGGTTTTTGCATAAGGAACAAAGGCATATTTGCCTATTAAGTTTTATTAGCACCCATCTAAATTGTAAACTGTTTATTAGTTTACTTTTTAAAATAAAAGTGCATGTACTATTTTTACACATGTTCAGACTATGCATACATTACTCTGAGTTAAACAAACACAGGGGTTTTCTTTGTTTTTTTTGTTAATGATATAATGCACTGCATTAACCATATATAGCTCTTGTACTGCAAACAACATATGCATTTGAGGGTTCAACTTCTGTTTCCTGTACCAGGAGGCATTAAATAGGAGTTGCTCATGCTATCCAATTGTGAAAGGAAAATTAACCTTTACATCAGGGAGTTAGTTCTGCAGCAATGTCATTGGCTTCCTGTGTTAAACAGGTATCAAAGAAGAGAGCCAGGCGCCAAACACTGAGAGGTGGTTATAGTGGTCTGTCACTCCCAGTACTCTTTCAATACAGACCAAAGATTCATCAGAAAGTGGGACAGGTGGGTGTTTATGATGCATATGCAACACCTCTTTTTTTTCTCATATGTAATGTATTTGCAGTATAAAACATATCGGATTGTTTTTAAAAATGATAAAATTTGCAGTGATTTGAAGGTGAGTGAGTTTTTTAAATCAATTCTAAAAATACAATTCTCTCAAACAGCTTTATTCACTAATCTCAAAATCATAGAGATGGGAAATCCGAAAGGCAAAGTTTAAGCAAAAATAGACACATTTTGATTATAACTGAATGGCAGAAATTTGTACAAATTATTTGTTTGCCTAAATTTTACCATTCTGATTTTAATTTGCTATAAGCTGGAGTTTAGTGAGAAGACCACATTGTCTACATATTTACTATCCTGTCATAGATATACTTCTAAAAACTAAATTTTATTCCACATGAATATTACATATATTATTGATACTTATTTTTACCACTGCATATCACTTTAAATGTAACCGTGGGTCGATATTTTACAAATCTGGGCATTTTGTAAGTAGACTGGGCATTTTAATCATCTGTACTCACCAGGAGATAATCAATTTAACTATAGAAATCGCAGGTTCTCACTGGCAGCTGCTAGTAGTACGTTTTGTTAGCAAAAACTTAAATAGTGTTATGCATTTCCACAAAAATGGCGAAAATTATAATTTATTCAAATAGTTGTGACTATTCTACTGACTGCAAATGAATATAAACCCAGACCACTGCTTTTAAAATACAGAGTGGCATCATTCGGTTTTACTTCTTGAATGAAAGCACTCACAGCAGGTAAGCTGCGTTTTCCAGGAAAATTAGTTTAAGGGATACGCGCAGCCGTTTCATCGAAAATAATAGATTGGTGGAGAAATCTCAGACAGTGTTATGTACTAAAGAGAAAACTGAAGGTGAATTCAAAGTGAATTTCAAATTTAATGTCAGAGTAGCTGAATTAAAAGCATAGCTGACTCACAGAAACTCTTTGAAACCTGTTTTACACTGAGCAAAGGGATGATGCCAGGGGACTCCAGGTACTATAACCACTTCAATGAAATTAAGTGGTTATAGTTACCGGACTGTCCCTCTAAAGGTGCTTCCATTCTACTTCATGAAAATAATCCATGAAGGGCTACTTGTAAATTGATTTAAAAATTTTTTTTTTTTTTTAAATCTCTGAAATAATGCCTACTGTCTACAGCATATTGAACTTCTGATTAACTCCTTAAGTATGGAGGCAATTGTACAAGTTCCGATCAAAATAAAACCTGGAATTTACGCTATATGTTTGTTCAACTATAATTTACCTCTTTCATATTATGTGCACCCACTTTTATTATATATTATTTTGTTTAGGAGACAAAGGCTTTAATTTCACATCAAATATTTAGATAGTAAACATAATTTAATATGAATAAAATCTAAAAAAATACTTTTTTTATTTTCTTAGTTCTGCATGGTAGTTTAACTGTAAATGTCATAATACTGCTACGTTTTACTACAAAAAATACACATATTTGTATTCAGAAAAGTCTCACGAGTACAACAGTACCCTCCATGTACAGGCTTTATGGGATTTTAGAAAGGTACAAGTTCAAATATAGGGCTTTCACCTTTTCAGTTTATACACATTGAGATTGGTTTGCTAG